AGGCAGGAACCCGAGGTTCAGAATTTCGAATTGAATCTGAATCCACTGACTGCTGATCCAGGGGTGGTCCCGGTCTGAGTCGCGAGAATTGCTGTGCTACAGCCTCGCATGTCCGCCGCGGTAAAACGTCTGAGTTCAGGCCAGTCTTTGCATCCGACATGGGCGAGCGTGCCTCGTCTTTCATCAGAACATTGCCTTCGGCGTCAAAGAGCTTGGGCCGGCTGTGTGGCTTCAATGACATCAATGCAACCTGTTGCCAGTGACGTGGACAACAAACCCGAGGCTTCGCAAGGATGCTGGCTTCCTTTCGGACGCCCGCTGTGCTTTGCGTGGAGAAGCCTTACCTGGAGGGCTTCCTCGATGGCTTCGTACCTGTGCAGAGCAATGCAGAGCATCTTCGGGAGATTGCTGGTACGACTGCCCTGATCAACAACACACAGCTGGCATGCCCTGTGCAAGCTTGCCTACGAAATTTCTGTGAGTAGTTGAATCCATTCGCCACTGAAGGCCCCACTCAAATTTCGCCCGCCTCCGTCTCTATATAGATTCCCAGGCAAAGACACCTGCGGGAGATTTCGTGCTGCTAGCAGATGCTTGGACTATCTTCCGGCATTGTGGGTTCGGTTTTAAAGCTGCGGTGTGTGCCTCCTCCGTGACGGCAGGGGTTCGATGGTTCTAATTTCTAATTACTCGCAGCCGGTAGCAGTAGCAGAAGAAGTTCTGGCTGGCACCGCAGTGTGTGCCTGTCAATCCGGATGCGATAGAAGCGGCCTCGGTTTTGGTCTCGGTGTTGACCTGGTGTGCTTGCCGCTGATGGGAGCCAAGTATGATATATCATACACCGGTAAGGTTCGCAGTCACCGCGGAGAACATCAAAGCAGCATGAAGAAGCACGTTTTTCAACAAATTCGCAGTGTGCAGCCACCAGAGGTGAATGGCGGAGACGCACCATTGTCCACCGACGTCCAGCGTCGCATCGGAGCACTTCCGGGGTTGAAGGCACGGAGTGCCCGGGTTCTTCTGAGAAAGGTGCAGCCTACCAGAGTTCAATCGATCTTGCAAGAGTGCGGCATGCGCCAGTCGCCATTCGTGGGAGAACCTCTCTGCATCTTGGCGTTGACACCTGTCAGGCTTGCTTCGCGATGAATCTCCACAAGCCTTCCGATGCGGCTCGTTTACGGCTTTATCGTGGTGTGTTCTGTTTAGCGTCGTGGCTCAAAGCCCGGAGTTTGCATTTGTGAGTGTGAGTGCGTGCCAAGGGCCGCTTTTTTCCTCTTCCTGTGGGCCTGCCTCATCACTGCGATGGCCTCCATCGAGGCAGACTACGAGGCTCAGGTGATGCCGAGTTGCTGCACCTTGCCGGTCAATCAGCAAAGCCTTCTTTCAACTTAATGCGGTCGTCCAGTAGGGAAGTTCAGAAAAGCAGGTGCAGAGTTTGAGTGTTGGCCTGCCTTGAGGATTGAACGAGTTCAGCGCTGCGCGGCTGCCTGGGAAGCACGCGACCGGAGGCTTTGTTCTTAGTCTTTGGGATTCGTTGGCCCCTGCAATGTCAAAGTGTGTTACCTTAACCCAAGTCCAATAGAAGGCTTCGTTCGATTGTTTGGCGATCGCCAGTGCTTGCATACGCGTAGTATTCAGCTGGCAAAGCTGCAGGCAGCCCATGACCACCTGTTTCTGCGTCATAGGAAGCGAGTGCCCCCGCCTTTGCATTCATTAGGCCCTCCTGCTCTTCGGTTGTCAGATGGTTGGTTCCCCCATGCTTTATGCGAGCTAGGGCTAGGGACACTTGGACTCGTGCGCTTTGCACTTCAATTCGGGTCAAGCTTTCGGCGTGTCTTAACGGCTGCCTGATGCTTCCTGGCAGGCTGCTGGTGACACCGATGCAGGTGTCGAAGCTGCACCAAACCAGGATCAGTGTTGCATCGTCGAAGTGAAGGCAGCCACGGAAGGCAGCCACGCGACGAGCCAAAAAAGTGCAGACAAGGCAGACTGGCATGACATCAGCAATTTCTAAGGCCAGCCGGCTGCGGACAAGATACATTGCCAGCAAGCTGCACATGGACTCTGATGCCGCAGTCTGCGCAGTCGAATGGAGCTGAGCTTTGTGATGCAGCTGCATGTGCTGGTAAGGAAGCCTTGACTCAGCCCGCAGTTTGGCTGCACTGCTCTGGGGGCGGCTTGCGCACTGTCAGTGCTGGCCTCCAATGTTAGCATGCGGCCTTGGAAGAAAGACGTCGGAGCCAATTCCTTGGAAAGCTCCGTGCTCTAAGCTTGAGATCGTCTCCCCCATGCCAGACAACCGAGGAGTTCTCCCACCTGGTTCATGTCGTGACGAGCCGGCACTTGGGCAGCAGTTGATGACCGGCTCACCTGCGTGTCCCTCGCAAAGTCAAGCAGCCATTGCGAAGGTGTTGCCCAAGCCGACCACTCTTTTAAAGGCCAGTGACCTACATTCTTAGATATGCCAGCGCTGGGGTCCGGACCTCACATCCACTTCGTGTTAGAGGGAAAGCATACGACCACAGTCTGGCTTCAGCACACGCTTCGGTTGTAACAGCATCAGCAGCACTAGCAGCAGCTGCTGACAGAGTAGGGATGGAGGACTCGGAATCTCCCACTTGATGAATGTAATGATGCAAATTTAAGCGCCTTATTGAATGGCCAGCCGGACGGGAATGAACAAGACACAGGCAGAAATGTCCGGTTCACGTGGGTGCAGCAAGCAACAAGCGACAAACCAGCAATGTAATCTAGAACAGCGTCTGATTACTTGATGTTTGCCACGAATCCTCGCCCATGTAATTGTTTCGTACTGCATCTATGGAGCCCTGGCTCACCATGTTCAGTCCGAGTCAGACTGTGACCTGCAGGCTGGCCCCAGGTGAGTCGTGAAATAGCCCTCATCTGCTACTGGTAGAGTCTTGACAGCTTGAAACCACCGTTATGGCGTTCTGGTCTTCTGAGCCGAGGCTGGACTTCCCAGAATTCCTTTCTCTTTTGAGTCAACACCGAGCTGTTCTCTCCCCTCCAGGGCGAGGCGAGGCGCAGGTAGACTACGGTATAAATACGGCGTATACATCTGACATAGCAAACGTTCAATCAAGCGACGATTCCATGCAGGTTCGGAATGTTTTGGAAGGATTGAATTCAGTTTCTTACCTGTTTAGGTTTTAGCCACAGCGGAAGTTGCGCCGCGGCCAATTTTCCACGGCACCAGCAGGTCAGCAGCCTGTGTTCGTGATAGTGGCGCCCCGATAGGACACGACTGCTATCGCACATGGCAAGCTTTGGCAGCAACTCAGCTTCATCAGATTCTGAATGTCGTGGAAGTTGAAGCCTTAACACCTGTCGATGCCTGCTACTGTGCGGCTCTTGGCAGAACTCGATGCCTGCCGTGTATACTCAGGGAAGCTGGACGTGCCGTGCCTTCTCATAGTTGTGTGTCGTGACAATACAGACAGACAGAGCCCATAAGTATCAGCATTTAGGACAAGCGCCCGCACCCCCCGACTTGCATTTGAGTTATGTGCGTCGGGGAGAGAAAGCTTGCAACCATCCTGAGGTTGGGACTGTGCCGCTGGTCGTGCAGGATCCGCTATTCGACGAGCGTTTGTACGAGAGCCCGGGCTAAAGAAAGCTTGTGGCAGGAGTAGGACGGCTTTTTTCGCAGCTGCGTGTTCCGACAGTCTCCGGAGGATTGCCGAGCTGCAGCAACTTGGCATGCTTTGGCTTTGGCTGCACGTACAAGCGCCCTGTGCTGTGGAGATCTGTGGAGAACATGGGATACCTTCATGTTTTCAACCAGACAAGGACTTTGAAAAGCATCGCATTTTTTCGTGGACAGCATAGACTGCAGCGCAAGAAAAAGGACGATACTCACGCATGAAACAACTGACATTGCAAATGCTTGGAAGCACCTTGTTGCTTGAAGAAACTCAGGGTGATTCCGTTTCCGGAGAACTTGACTCCAGATTCACTGAAGGCTGGCTGGTTGAGCAAAGCGGGTGCTTCAGTTTGTACAATCCTCCAAAGCTGGTGTCGTCGACTGGGTATGACTGGGTCGCTATCAATGACACGAGCCTCCTTCCGTCGTAGTCATTCTGAGGGTTTTGTGTTCCATGCCTTGTGCATAGCGCAGGCTCTGCTGGAGCGGCTTGTGAATCCAGATCCTTGGCAGCGCTGCGTGGAGACAGCGTGACCCGATTCGACAGGGGTGCGGAACACCTGCCCTTGACAGGTCTTGACAGACAGACGGAGACAGAGACAGTCGGACACATACCGACGGAGAGACACAGACAGGCAGGCACACAGACTGACAGACAGTAAGTGCCTGCACCAGAGACAGACAGACAAGTGAACACAGACGCGACATGATGCGACATCGCTGGACATCCAGAAAGAGAATGGCAGACCGAAGGAGAAGCCGACACACAGACACCGTCGAACAGGCAGGCAGGCAGAAAAATCAGGTACGCAGATTTGCTGTGCAGCAGTTGCGTGTCCTTGCCAGGTACTGGGCAGACATATGGCGACTGCACCTCCAAGATCAAAGCCAGGGTTGACAGTACATGGATTCAGATCCCGGACGGCCCGCGGAAAACTATTCGAAGAATCCGGCGGCCGGACACGAGTTGTCGGCTACAGGCATGCCAACATGACGGTGCGATTTCCTCCCTCTTCCAGACTTGTCGAGGCCGTGACGCATCAAATGCACAAAGGATGCTGCACCCACATACGTGCATAATTGAATCCGGAAGTCATTTCAATAGCTGTAGAATGAAGGCAGCACAATGCCTGTGTGAAGCCTTCTCACCGAAAAAATCAAGTCACTGGTAATCGTTCGGTCTCGATGGACATGAGGCCGATACTTTGATTTCAATTGCTCGTCATCAGGACTCAAAAGGTCATGCGGGTTCGAAACATGTGGGCAGCCTGCTTTGTATTTTCGGCAATGTGCAAGCCGCCAATGACGACGCGAGAAACCGTAAGCTTGTTTCAAGGACTGTGGGCTCTTGCTGCTCACGGGCCACCGCCTAGACGCCCCTCGGGCACACATTTGTTGTTCGGTTTCAAGAGCTCGCACTAGCGCTTCATCATCTGCATCTTTTTCCTGGTGTTGACCTTGTACGCAGCTTCTGCGTTCTGCCGCGCATGCCCACGTTCAGTCCGCTGGGCACTTCCCCTTTCTTCCTCTTAGTTCGTGGGTGTTGTAGGCCATTGCATGCAACCTACGTGTGTATACGTGTATAGAATAGAATATTTGCAAATTACATCAACACATACATCATTACATCATACATGCATACATACATACACAC